TTTCTGTTTTAGCATTTGTAATAATTGATTTCACGTCACTGTTTATGTCACTCTCCTCATTAGCCTTGGAGGAATAGCCTTTCCATATTTGCGGCTGTATCCCCTGTGGCTGGCCCCACGCTTTGCATACAGAGGATGCTTAATAAATGTTAGCTCAGTGAATGAGTTGGAGTGTTAGAAGCAAATCAGTGGCCTGCAGAAGTGTCTGAAGATTCTAGAAGGGGATCGGGACCTGCCATCATGGGAGGCGACAGCCAGTGAGTCTTCTGGAGGTGGGACGGATGGGGCAGGCCCCTGTCATGTTCCCCTGCCCGCTGGGATGAAAATCATTTGTGATTTAAATTCTGACACATCCTTCGCATGTTGCTAGAAGCCTGGACTGGGGGAGTCTGCAGGCCATCAGGCCTTTCATACAAATGAGCCTGGCCCCAGGCACAGGGCCAACTAGAAATTGGGCTTTGGGGAGGTGGGAAGAGGTAAGAATTTTAATAAGTTCAATAAAAATTGGAAGTAAAATCTATGCTGGAGGAACTGCTGGTGTCTGGCAGTTCGAAGGGACTTAGTGGAGTGGGTGTAGCAAGGGATGCTGGGAATTTCAGGGCCTGGTCTCCAGGGAAATGCCAGGAGGTTGGGACAGGACTGCGAGGCCCAGGCTGGGACCTAGCCAGAAGGCTGGACTCTGAGGGGCGTGGCCAGGAAGTGGCTGGCCTCAGGGGGCGTGGCCTCAGGAGGAAGCCAAGTGAGTGGGCGGGGCCGCCAGAAATCCGCAGGGTGGGCGCGCTGCAGGTGCCCTCCTCCTGGTGGCCAGTAGAGGGCAACACAGATATAGGATCCTGGACTGGGTTAGGTGGGGAACCCAGCGGGGAAACTGAGGCCAAAGCCCTGTTGTAGGGAAAAGGCTGAGCTCCTGGAGTCTCTGACACACAGTGAGCAAGGGCTCAGTGGGGAGAGTCTAACTCCAGTCTGTCCAGCGACCAGGAGCAGCCAGGCTCTGAGGACTACCCGCCACAGCTCATGGGGTAGTGCTCACTGATCTGCCCTGCCCCGAGCCATCCAGGTGGGAGCCAGGTCCACACTCTGCCTCCCAGTGGTTCCCACCTCTTCGCCAATGTGCCAGGCCCTTTCCTCAGGCATCTCATCCCCATTTTAGAGATGAGGAGAAGGAGACCCAGCGAGGTTAACTAACTTGCCTGACGTCACACAGTGTGAGTGGGAGAGCTGGGCCGAGAGCCATGCAGTGCCTGCCTCACCTGCCGTGCTCTGAACTGAGCCTGTGCATTGATCTGAGTGGGCGTTTATTCTTGCCCTTCCTCCTAGAGCATGAGCCTTAGGGCAGGACTTGGTCTTTCGGGGTCATTCCTGTATCCCTGGTACCACAGGCACCAAGTTGGCCTCTGTAAATACTTGTTGAAGGAATGAGTGTTACAGAAACTCTGGTAGGAGAGGATTGGAAGACACATCTGAATCTTTCTGCCCCTTCAAATAAGCACCCTCTCCTCTACCCCTGGGCCAGGGTGGGCCCCTGGTGGGGAAAGTAGGGGGGTTGGTGTGAGCTGCATTCATCAGCCTGAACCCTCTAATAAATGCTTCATTGCAGGTCTAGAAAAGTGAAAGTGAGGGCTAGGTGCAGTGGCTTATGCCTGTGATCCCAGCACTTTGGGAGGCTGAGGCAGGAGAATCACCTGAGGTCAGGAATTTGACACCAGCCTGACCAACATGGTGAAACTCTGTCTCTACTAAAAACACATCAATTAATTGGGCTTGGTGGCGTGCGTCTTTAGTCCCAGCTACTCAGAAGGCTGAGGTAGGAGAATGGCTTGAACCTGGGTGGCAGAGGTTGCAGTCATCCAAGATCACACCACTGCACTCCAGCCTGGGCGACTGAGCCAGACTCCACCTCAAAAAAAAAAAAAAAAAAAAGTGAAAGTGAGAGCCTGCATTTGGGTGGAGTGCAGATTGCCCAGGTGTGGATTCTGGGCTCAACACCAGGCATGTGCCTTTGGTCAAGTTCTCCATCTTCCCTCAGCCTGAGTTACCCCTTCTCCAAAGCGGGATAATAGACTGCTGGAGGGGTTGTGGAGATTGAAGGAGTGAGCATATATAAAGTGCTTAGCACAGTGCTTGGTACATGGTTGGCTCTGAGGATGATGACTGTAACAGAATTGGTAATACCGTGGCAGCTCTGAGACTTTCATGGTATGTAAGTATGTCATGATTTGGTATTACAGTGGCACTGTATGTAGTTCATGTAATGGGGGAGGGGATGTGGACAAGATCAGTTACAGAAAGGGAAGGACGTATCTGCGTGTGAGAGGACAGAGAGAGAGAGGCAGGAGAGACATACAGAGAAAAGCAGCAGTGGGAAGTAGAAAGAGACACAGGAAGGCAGAACTAGAGAGTCACACACAGAGAGAAACAGAAACTAAGAGTGTATTTGACCAGATGCGGTGGCTAACACCTGTAGTCCCAGCACTTCTGGAGGCCAGGGTGAGAAGATCACTTGAGCTCAGGAGTTTGAGACCAGCCTGGGCAACACAGTAAGTCCCCATCTCTAAAAAAATAAAAGAAAAGTTAGCCGGGCATAGTGGTGTGCACCTGTGGTCGTAGCTGCTCAGGAGGCTGAGGCAAGAGCATTACTTGGGGAGTTGGAGGCTGCAGTGAGCTGTGATTGCACCACTGCACTCTAGCCTGAGTGACAGAACAAGACTCTGTCTCAAGAAAAGAGAAAAGAAGTACATTTACTGCTAGTGATTAGAGCACAGATACATATATGTGGGTTGAGAAAGATACATATGTATACATATATATATACAGATACATATATATATGGGGAGAGAGAAGGAGAATGAGAGAGAGAGGCGTCACTGCCCTGCTGTTGACATTTATCCAGTACAGCCACTTCCACCTCTGCTCCCCACCAGGTGGCAGTGGTTTGAATCCCCCAGGGTCTAAGAAGCCTTACAGGGCTCCCAGCCAGGATTGGATGTCAGGTGATGCTGGGGCAGAGGACCCTTCCCAAGGTGACTAAAAGAGTATCAAGCCAAAGGAACCTGGGGATGATTCTCAGTCAATCCAGGAAAACACACTCCAAGGTCCAGGTCAGGAGTTGGGTGACAGAGGGCCAGAAGCCTGGTAGACCTAGAGCACAGTGGGATTGAGGTCGGTGGAAGTCAGAGACATCCCAGGAGATGGCTGGCCTGGAGCCCAGTGTGGCCAGGAGCCCAGAGTGTAGGGCTGAGCTGGACTGGTTCACAGAAGAATGCGTGGGGCTGGTGCCATCTTGGTCTCAGGCACCAGACGTTACAGCTGACCCAAAGTCTAGGGAGACCTCACAGCACAAACCTGTCTCCCAAACCAATCCCTGAGCCTTGTGGTGGGGACCATATTCTGTTCATCTCTGTGTCTCTGGAGCCCAGTAGGACTCAGTGGGAGCCTCTGTGAATGTTTTCAGATGAAGGAATTACTGGGTAGAGCTGTGGTGTCAGAGGTGGCCCCCACACATGGGCCTGGCTCCTTCCTGAGGCCAGAATGCAGCCAGCAGGGAGAGCGCTGGACCTGGAGAGCAGGGCTTCATCCTCAGCTTTGTAGGCTGATGTTCAGAGCTTTCCTGGGAATTCACACGAGAGCTTTGTGACCTCCATTTTGCTACATCAAAGCCTGTTAGGGCTCATGTCTGGGTTCTGGTTCTCATGTCCAAGGGGTGGGAATTTGTTCAATCTGAGGGGAAACCATATTTTTGTAAAAGTCATTATGCAATTCCATCTCTCAACATTTCTCTTGGTGGTGGCTGCAGATGGGCACAGGGGAGAGCAGCCACCATTGAGAAGATGAAGTCCAGTTGATGACTTTGACATTTGGGTGTTTTGCTGAGAGCTGCAGGGCTGTGGCTGTCCGAGGAGAGAGCCAGTGAAGGGCTGCGTTGAGCCTGCCTCTGACTGTCTCCACGTCGCCTCCATGTCTTGGTGTTCATAGTGGATTTCTTTGCTTTTTGCCTTGATAGCATCCTTTCTTCTTCCTTCAGCTTAGAACACAGTGATTTTCCTTTGGAAACCTCCCTTCCACTCTCACACCACGTTTACTGTGCCCCGCCCCACTGCAGAGGTGGTCCCACAGCCTAGCCAATCAAAACATCATCTTCTTGCCCACAATGATTGGTTCAGGAATGAGGGTGTGATAGAGATCAAGGAAATGAGATTCAGTTCCAGGATGTTTGTAGCAACTGCTGGAACACCAGAAATACTCTTTTTAAAGATGAGAGGATGTAAGCTGGGTGCTGATGGATTCACCATATGGAGGGAATCTGCCAGAGAATGAGGCCAACAGAAAGCAGTGCTTGAGAAAGGAAGAGACAGATTCCTGACCTCATCTATGAGCACCTGGATCATGCTCTGTTTAATGCCAAACAATCCATAGGTCTTTCCATTGCATGAGTTAATTTATGTCCTCCATGTTAAAATCCAGTTTTAGCTATGTGATCACCACTTCTGACTATGAGTCCTAACACAGCTGGGGTAGGCTTAGCCACAAAGTACTGTGGGTCTTCAGTGAGGGTAGGTAGGAGGAGCTGAGCCAGGGCCACAGGAACTCCTTGGACTATTGGATCTCTTTGTCCTGCCCCAGTATGAGGAGCTTGGGCTCTCTTTTGGCTGTCGTCTCTAAATACAATAGTTCCCTGAGTCAAGTGAGGCCTTTAGGCCTGGGGCCCCCTGTTGCCAAGCCCAGCTGTGCCTCTGGGATGTTAGTGGCACATTTAGTAAGTGCTGGAGTTGGCAGAAATAAATTCAAATTACAATAAATGTAACTGGGTTAAATTCGTTGGTTAAGTCAGAACTCTTGGGTTATAGAAACAAAAACAGCAAGGTCCAACCATACAAGAAGCACACTTTAAGAGACATAGAAAAGTGGATGGGAGAAGAATGGGAAAAGATATACCTGAAAAGAATGAACCAAATAAAGCTGGGTTAACAGTTTTGTTATCTGATTCAATAGTTTTTTTTCCTGTAAAAATGGAACATTTCACAAATTTACATGTCAACCTTCCATAGGGGCCTTGTGAATCTTCCCTGTATCATCCCAATTTTAATATATACACTGCTGAAATGAGCACTGAATATAATTTAAGATCAAAAAGTTATAAGAGCAAATAAGGAAATTATAGGTGGGTAAAAAGATAACCAAAAAAGAAAAAATATATCCATCATAAGCATATATTTTCCTAATAACAAAAACTTTATAACAGGCAATACTAGCAGAACCTCAGGAAGAAACAGATAAATCAGCAATGATAGAGATTTTTTAACATACACACACATCTCAGAAACTAATGGAGAAACAGACAAAAACGTAAGCTGAGCTACTGAACAATACATGAATAAGCTTAAACTATATGTAGAACTCAATTTCCTCCACCTCTCAGAAAACCCTAGAGAAGATATGTTTATTTCAAGTACACACATATAGAACATAAACAAAATATGTTGGAGCCAGGAATTGAACTCAGCTCTCTGTTTTTAAAGCTCTATATTATTCTGTGTCATGTGTGTGTCTGTGTGTATGGGGAACATTAAGTGTTGGCTGCAGCCAGGCTGAGGTTCAAGGTTTGGAAGACTAGTGTCAGGAGGGGTAGTTAGGTGTCAAGACCAAATGCATGGCCTGGTTTGGGCCATGGGCATGGCTCCCCCAGCAGACCCAGGAGGGGACCAAACAGCCCCAGAGCCACTTTGCCTGCCCTGGTCAGGCCTGGCCCAGGGCCCACTGCTGTATTTGCCAAATGTGTGACAATAATTGCCATGGCCTTAGCAACTTAAGGCAACACACATTTCTTAGCCCACAATTCTGTGGACGGCAGTCCTGGCCTGACTTAAGTGGGTGCTCTGTACTAGGCTGCAGTCAGGGCGTTGGCCAGAGCTGAGCTCCCCTTTAGAACCCATCTGGGGGAAGGATCTGTTTGATGCTCACATGGTGTTGGGAGATTTCAATTCCTTTGGTTTCTTTCAGGGCTTCAGTTTCTTGCTGGCTGTTGGCTGGAGGCCACCCTTAGCTTAAGGAGGTCACCTTCAGTTCCTTGCCGTGTGGACCCCAAATGTGGCTACTTACTTCATTAAGTCATCAAGAGGGACAGCCTCCTGGCAAGAGAAGTGTCAAAATCTTACATAATCTGATATAACATAGTCATCCTGTTACCCCTGCCATATTCTATTGATTATTGCAATTAAGGGGAAACTTACATTAGGGCATGGGATCACAGGAGCTGCTCCTTCATAACCTTAATGAATGCCAGCCTGGCAGGCTTGGCAGACAGTGCCCTGTGACTAGAACACTGAATGGTGTGCCACCCATCCGTTTGGGTTGGTCACCTCTGAGAGTGTCGGGACCGCCAGGCCATTGGCTTCTCTAGGCTTCTTCTCAGAATCTCTGGCTCCTCAGACTGGATGAATCTACTCTGGCATTTCTGAAGCCCAGGGAATATGGCCTCCAAATTGCCACAGTCACCTTTGCGGAGGGGACTGGAATCTGAGCCCTGAGATAGTAACAAATAACAAGATGTGGGTATCTGGGGGGAAAAATGGCCCAAGCAATGGAAATAGCGAGTGCAAAGGCCCTGGGGCAGGAATATGCTTGAGGGTATGCAAAGTACAAGAAAGAGAGGGAAAGAGAGGTGGGGAGTGAGGTCAGGGATGGAGACGTAGATTTCCACAGCCATGCCTTAATCTATCAGTGCGCTACCGGGAGACGTTTAGAGTGTTTCCAGTCCTCTGCTATAGTGAATATCCTTGTCCATAAATTTTGCCAACACTTGCAAATATGTGAGGGTAAATTCCTAGAGGTGGAGTTGCTGCGTCAAAAGGAATGTGCATTTTTGTTTGGACAGCCATTGTCAATTTACCCGCTTTCCCTCCCAGACCTGACACTCCCACTGCCCCTTTCTCTTTTATTTTTTTTTTTTTAATTTTTTTGAGACAAAGTCTTACTCTGTCACCCAGGCTGGAGTGCAGTGGCACAGTCTCAGCTCACTGCAACGTCTGCCTCCCGGGTTCAAGCGATTCTCGTGCCTCAGCCTGCTGAGTAACTGGGGTTACAGGCATGTACCACCCCACCTGGCTAATTTTTGTATATATATATTTTTTAAATAGAGATGGGGTTTCACTGTGTTGGCCAGGCTGATCTCAAACTCCTGACCTCAGGTGATCTGCCCACCTTGGCCTTCCAGAGTGCTGGGATTACAGGCGTGAGCCACTGTGCCCAGCCTCCCACTGGCCCTTTCCAAGAGTCCTCCATGCCTGTGACATCCTTGGTCCCTGCCTGGGCTGGCGTCCTGTACTCCCAGCCCCTCCCTGCAGAAGGCTGTCGGACGCAGCAGATGGCAAGGGAGTCTAAGAGCCCCTAAGAGGACACTTTCCCTTGATGGAAATTCTCCACTTTGGGAAAATTCTTTCCACCAACAGTCTTTTCCGTGTGCTTTTCCCAGCATCGGAGACTCCCCAGTGGCTCTTCTCAGACAATGTGTGAGTTCACATTTACCCACAATTTGTCTCTGGGAAGGTGGAGCGCTGGCAGAATCTGCCAGAGGACAGACAACAGACAACACCTTGTCTGGAAGGGGGAGCTGCTGTCCCCTCGTTACTGCCCATGTGACATTGCAGGGGCTGGAAAGGCTGGGGGCTTCAGGACCTGCTGAGATAGAGCTATGTGAAAGTCAGTCGGCATTTACTGGACACCTGCTGTGTGGCTCTTGCAACTCCTCCTGCCCGGCCAGGCCTGATTCAGCACTAGGGCAGGGCTGATGTGAGCCTGTGACCTGCGGTCTCTGCAGCTGCACACCTGAGCCTTGTCAGGGTAGGCAGGTGCAGACTGGGGGAGCCGCAGCCCAGACTGCCCACCCAGGGCCTCCTTTTAGCCACCCCTTCCTCCAGAGCCTCCCCCTCTCTTGCCTCTGTTCCTCAGCAGCTTGCAAAACCAGCTGAGCCTTAATCTCTGGTGATCAAAGGGGCCTCCTAGTCCTAAGCCCAGCTCTGAGCTGGAGGGAGCCCCTGCTGGGAGCACCTGCCAGAGTCACAGGCCTTCCTCAGAAGAGAGGCAGGTGTGGCAGCTCACCTCTGTAATACCAGCACTTTGGGAGGCAGAGGTGGGAGAACTGCCTGAGGCCAAGAGTTCCAGACAAGCCTGGCCAACACAGCGAGACCCTGTTTCTGCACAAAAATGAGCAAAATTAGCTGGGCATGGTGGTGCACGCCTGTGGTCCCAGCCATTCGGAAAGCTGAGATGGGAGGATCGCTTGAGCCCAGGAGTTTGAGGCAGGAGTGAGCTATGATCGTGCCACTGCACTCCAGCCTAGGTGACAGAGTGAGACTCTAACTCTCAAAAGAAAAAAAGTAGGCCGGGCGTGGTGACTCAAGCCTGCAATCCCAGCTCTTAGGGAGGCAGAGGCGGGAGGGTAGCTTGAGCCCAGGAGTTCAAGACCTGCCTGGACGATATAGTGAGACCCCGTTCTCCACACACAAAAAGAAAATAAATAAATAAATAAAATAAATAAAGAGGGATGGAAAACCAACTCCTGCTCAAGGAATGTAACAGATGAGAAATGACAGTCTTCAGCAGGGACTCCAGGGCCAGTGGGAGCAGAGACAGTGAGGTCTAGGCCAGGCAGTGAGACGCAGGAGACGCCCTGGGCTGCCAGGGCCCTGCCCTCTCTGCCCCGAGATCTGCTCAGCCCCAGGAAATCTCACAGCTGCTTACCCCGATGGAGTTCTTGGCACTCTCTGGAAGGTGCCATAGTAGGACCCCAGATTGCGGCCTGACTATGTTGCCCAGGCTGGTTTTGAATTCCTGGCCTCAAGTGATCCTCCTGCCTTGGCCTCCCAAAGTGCTGGGATTACAGGCATGAGCCACCGTGCCCGGCCAAACTCTGAATTTAAATGTTGTGTGTTTATTTCCCATCTTCCTTCATAAGACTATCAGCTCCTTGAGGGCAGGGACCGTTTTGTCTTATATACTCAGCATGCTGCTGAGACCCTTCTCCACGCTTCACTGCATGACCTCGTCTGGCTTTGTCCGCCTGTCACTCTGGCCACCATATATGGCCTGGATCCCAATCTTGAAGACTTCACCTCTTGGATCCTGTCCCAGAACAGAGGTGGGCCCAGCAGAGCCAGACACTACCACGGAAGGTATCTGGTCCCCTCTGTGAGCCGCCCCCTAGAGCCAGAGGTCAGGAGAACACCAAGGGCCTGCAGAGACACGGAGCCAGCCCGCACTTCCAAATGGGACAAGCCTGATGGGGTCACTCCTGCCCCTCCCACAGCTCCAGACCATCTCGTGGCTTCTCATAGCAACAGTGCCACCTCTCACCCGCCTCTCCGCCTCCGCACTCCTTCTCTGCCCTAGGCCTGAAACTGTGAACACACTTGGTCTCTTCCTGCCTCACCATTCTCTCCATCTGGGGCTCTCACCCTTCTCTCCATCTGGGGCTCTCACCCTCCAGAACCTTCACAGTTTTCAGGTCTCAGCTTAAATGTCACCTTCTCAGGGAGGCCCACCCTGATTTCGTTGGCTAAACTAATTGACTCCATCATTATCTTCCATATCCCCTTCTTTGCCTTTGTAGTATTTATTAAACCATGAATTTTAAAAGGTATTTTTATTTATTTATTTTTATAGAGATGGGGTCTTGCTATGTTGCCCAGGCTGGTTCTGAATTCCTGGCCTCAAGCGATCCTCCTGCCTTGGCCTCCCAAAGTGCTGGGATTATAGGCATGAGCCACCGTGCCCCGCCAAACTCTGAATTTAAATGTGTGTGCTTATTTACCATCTTCCTTCATAAGACTATCAGCTCCTTGAGGGCAGGGTCCATTTTGTCTTATATACTTCTTTATTTCCTGAACCATGAAGACAGCCTGTCATCCAGAAATTGCTTGATAAATATTTGCTGAATGAATGAATGAGTGGAAGAGACTGTGTTGGAATGGTAAAACACCTGGACTTGGAGTTGGGCAGACCTGGACTCAAATATACGCCTTCCTTGCTGTGTTACTCTGGGTGAGTTGCTTTACCTCTCTGAGCTTTACCCTCTCATTTTTCAAGTAGGGTATAATGAAACCTAGCCT